AGTAAATAAACTTAAAAAAATAAATTATCTTTTGATGAAAGAAATTATTCCTAATCTGTGAATTTCTTATGAGAAATTCTCTTGATAAAACAAACTCCATATCTTTTCCAACACTTGGTCGATCTTTTTAATTGTTGACATTCTAGCAGGTATGCAGTGGTAGCTCATTTGGGTTTGATTTGGATATTCCTAATTAGTCTGAACATCTTTTCATGTACCTATTTTTCATCAATGTATCTTCAGTAGTTAAGTGGCCAAATATTTGGCCCACTTTTTAACTCAGTTATGTGTTTTTTTATTACTGACTTTCCGGTGTTCTTTATATACACTTGATAAAAAGTCCTTGACCAGATACATGATTTACAAATATTTTCTCCAAGTCTGAGGCATATCTTAACTGTCACTTTAGAAGAATAGAAGTTCTTAATTTTCATACATCCAATGTATCAATTCATCGATGCCCCAAACCATCAGGCACACTATATTTTATATCTTTATAATTTATATTTTGGTTTTTTACTTATTGCAATGAAGGAGAACACTCACCATGGGGAGCCATGGGGAGTTGGTGAGAGGGTGTTAGAAAGAACCTATTATAAGGGGGCTTTAGTTGGGTAATTTTGGCTTCAGTAGGTGCAATTCTGTGATAGAATCTCTCACTCAATCTTATTGAAAAGCAGAGCAAACCAGAGCAAGGATGAAGCTGTATTTGGTAAAGGAGTAGTAATCACTCATTTTAGCTGGAAGAGATGGAGATGGTGAATATTTTGTGGGTTACACAGTGAACTTGTTTTTGTATCACTTTATCATTGTCTCAGGGCGACTTTGTTTGATGTTGGTGTTTTATGAGATTGTTTAATGTCCAACATTAACTAGTTGTGAGCATCAGGCTAGCTTTGTAGTAATACTGAAGCCCCGCTGTGTCAGAGCTGTTCCCAGATGTAAGAATCTCTTTTTTTTTTCTTGTTTCTCTTATGGATCGTAATTTTGCTATTAAATATAAGACCCAAGGTCACAAAGATTCTCTTCTATGATTTTTTCCTGTAGAAGTTCTATGGTTTTACTTTTAGGTCAATAAACTTTGAGTTAATTTTCATATATGATGATAGGTATAGATCAAAGTGTTTTTCCTCTTCTTTTCCTCCTCTCCCTTCTCATATTTTCCCCTTATCTCCTCATCCTTTTCCTCCTCCTTTTTGCCTATAGATATCCAATTAGTCCAGCATTGCTTATTGAAATGACTATCCTTTCTCCACTGAATGGACTTTGTCAAGAATCAATTGCCAGTACACACATGTGGGTCTGTTTTTGAAATCTCTATCTTATTTCATTGATCTACTTGTTTATTTTGATAACAAAACCACACTCTCTTGATTTCCATAGCTTTATAATGAGTCTTGAAGACTCAACTTTGTTGTTTTCTTTTTTTTTTTAAGTAGTTTTAGACATTTTAGGTACTATGCATTTCCATGTGAATTTCAGAGTCAGCCTGCCAGTTTCTACAAAAAGGCATGCTGGGATTTTGATTGAGATAGATTTGGATTTATAGATCAATTCATAGATCAAAGATCTGAATCTTCTGATCCTTCAACAGAGTGTGTCTCTCCATTTGTTTAGGTTTTCTCTGATTTCTCTCAGTGATGTTTGTAGTTTTAGTGTATAGGTCTTATACTTTTTTTCACATTGTCTTTAAGTTTTTCATACTTTTTGTAATATTGTAAATACTATTGTTTTTAAACTTCAATTTCCACTTGTTGCTAGTATATAGAAATGCAATTATTCATCCCTGGGTTACTTAAAGGTGTGTTAGTGTCCAAGCACTTGAGGATTTTCTAGATGCTTTTCTATTATTTTTATTTTCAATCTACTGTGGTCAGAGAACATACGTTGTATGACTTCACTCCTTGAATCTCTTAAAATTTATTGAGACTTGTTTTGTGGCTCAAATATGTAGTATATCAGTAAATGTTCCATGTGCATTTGAAAAGAACGCATATTATGCTGTTGGGTGGAATGTTCTATAAATGTCAATCAGGTCAAGCTGATTGGTAATACTGGTCAAGTCTTACTGATTTTCAGGATACATATTCTGTTGATTGTTGGGAGCAGGGTATTGAAATCTTCATCTACAATTATGAATTTATTTAATCTTATGGTTCTATCAGTTTTTGCTTCATATATTTTGAAATTCTGTTATTAGGTACATATGTGTTTAGCAGTGTTACATCTTCTTGACCAGTGTACTTCTTTATCATTATGAAATGGCCACCTTTTCTCCTAGTCATGTTGTTGGATATGATATCTACTTTGTCAGATATCAATATAGTCACTCTAGCTTTATTTTGACAAGGTTGAAGATGGTCTATCTCTTCTTATTTATATCTTTTTCTTTAAAGTGAATTTTTCTATAGGCAGTATATATCTGGGTCTTCTTTTGAATATAAGTGGACTATGTTTGCCTTTTAAAAAATGTTTATTTATTATTTTGAGAGAGAGAGATAGAAAGAGAGAGCAGGGGAGGGGCAGAGAGAGAGAGGGAGACACAGAATCTGAAGCAGGATCCAGGCTCTGAGCTGTCAGCACAGAGCATGACACAGGGCTCGAACTCACGAAATATGAGATCATGCCCTGAGCAGAAGTTGGATGCTTAACCGACTAACCCACCAGGCGCTCCCACAATCTTTGCCTTTTAACCATGGTATTTAGATTATTAATATTTAATTAACATTAATTGATATGGTTGAGTTTAAACCTACCATCTGACTCTTTTGTATTTGTCTCATCTGTTTTCTGTTCCCTATTTTTTTCTTCTTTTGGATTAATAGAGTTTTTAAAAAGTTTTATCTCCTTTGTTGGCCACTTAGCTATATATAACTATTTGTGTTATTTAGGTGGCCACTTTGGGATTACATCTTTAGCTTATTAAAATTTTCCTTCAAGTGGTATTATACCATTTCACATGTAGTATTAGACCTTACAAAACTACCCTTTTGTTTCTCCTCTACTAGCCTTTGTAGATTTTCTTTCTACATACACTGTAAACCTCACAATAAAGTAATATTTTTGCTTTAAACATTTCTTGTTCTCATCACATATGCCTCCAACAAGTTTCTCTTTTCTGTTCTATTAGTGGAAATCTGTGTAAAATAAGAACAAACAGGATCTGAGATCCTTTGGTTTCATAATCTTTAGTGTATCGTCTTTTTAAAATTTTTTTAAGAAGTTTTTAAATGTTTTTTTTTTTTTTAATTTATTTTTGACAGAGAGACAGAGTATGAGGGTGGGAGGGGCAGAGAGAGGGAGACACAGAACATGAATCAGGCTCCAAGCTGTTAGCACAGAGCTTGTCGCAGGGCTCACAAACTGTGAGATCATGACCTGGGCTCAAACTCACCAACTGTGAAATCATGACATGAGCCGGAGCGAAGTCAGACACTCAAACAACAGTGTATCGTCTTTGTAGCACCAATGTAACTATTCAGAAGCTTTTTTCCTCCTAGTTTTCTTGTTGTTGGTTGTAAATTTGTGGAATAAGCAACTTTCAAGTGAATTGTTACTGTATAAAGAAAGTAGATAAAAAATTAAAAAATTAAAAAATAAAGTAGATAAAAAAGAGTTGGGAATAGTTGAGTGTTGAGAAACAGATCAAAACCTATTTTGACTACAACTTTTACAGTAAAAAATAGAGAGCTGGGGGTGGAAATCATTCATGGAATGATTCATGGGATGGGAGGTGGTGGGATGTTGCATTTGTATTATAGGACTTGAAGATTGGCTAATGTTGTCTCCTTTTCCCTTTGGTGAATTGACCTAGTTTTCTCTCCTTGCTTGATGAGGAAGCATTTCCCCTTCCCCAAAACCAGATTTGATTAAGGTATTTTATATTTTCTTTAGTCATCGTTTTAATGTTAAACCTCACAAACTTAAATTTAAACTTGACATAATGAACATATGGATTCTGGAATGTTGCGTTTTATTGCATTCAAATACAGAGCATAAAATAAATGGTGGAACAATAAGGAGACAATAGGCTATGTGCAGTGAGTACTCTAAAAACTGGCTAATGATCACAGAAGGAACATTTAGTCCTTGCTTATATACCAATACAGCTTTTAACTCCCTCCTTCCAGCAACTTCTGTCTGCGATACTCTACGTTAGGAGACATTTAAAAAAATTATATTTCTGCTTCCTAAATCAAGGGCACAGTACAACGTCCACTTGGAAAATCCCTCCTCTCCCAACACCTAGCACGGTATTCCTTTACGTTCTCTTTTAAAACTATTCTAAATTAGAGTTCTAAAATGTTTCAGTCTAAAATTCAGAGTTCCGTTAGGAAGCTTGCTGGAGATCTGTTCAGTACCCACTTCAGGCTTCCCTGTCACTTAAGACAATTTCCTAAATCAAATTCGTGACGTGCTCGGTAACTGCCTCGGTTCTCTTTTGAATCGCGGCCACAGGTTGTCTCGGCGGCCAGGCCTCTGGGAAAACGGGAGAGAGCTGGGCGCCCAGCCGGCCGCAGACACCTGTTCCAGGCACGGCCGCGGCTGCGGGAAGAGAGCGCGCCGCGAAGGGCACGTGTAGGTGAACGCGCACGCACACACGCGCCCAGCCGCCCCGAGACGCGGAGGCGAGAGCGTTTGCAGGAGACGCGGCCGTGGGGAGGGGGTCGCCGCGTTCTCACAGGCGGCCTGGGTTACATAAGCGAGCGGGGCAAGAAAGGCGCTTCACGTGCGCGGGGGCTCGGGCCGTGCCTGCCTCGCCCCCGCCCGGGTCCGGCTGTGGTCCTGCGGGACCGGCCGCCCACGCCGCGTGGGGACACCGCCGCATTCTTGCCCCTGCCCGTGCCAGTGGTCGCGGTGGCCCGTAGCGGCCGCCTCCAGACGCGCGTGGCTCTCGGAGAAGGCGGCGGCCGCGCTCCCGCCGCCGCGCCCCAGGCAGCAGAGCATCCGCTTGCCTAGGCTTCTCCCATCCGGGCCTACGGGGCCGCAGGCTCGAGGCTATGAGCCCCGAGCCGGTCCCGCCGCCGCCGCCCCAGTGCCCCGGCTGCGACTGCGGGGAGCCTTTCGCCAAGCGCCTGGAGAAGGGCGATGAAGCCTTCCGCGCCGGCGAGTATGAGATGGCCGCGGAGCTCTTCCGCTCGATGCTGGCCGGGCTGGCGCAGCCGGACCGCGGCCTGTGCCTGCGGCTGGGGGACGCGCTGGCCCGTGCCGGCCGGCTCCCCGAGGCCTTGGGTGCGTTCCGCGGGGCGGCGCGGCTCGGGGCGCTGCGGCCGGAGGAGCTGGGGGAGTTGGCGGGCGGCCTCGCGCGCGCCCTGGGCCAGAGAGAGTGGCGGCTGCCGGCTGCGGGGCCGGGCCGCGCCCCCGAGGAGCCGCGTGGGGAGCAGCCGGCCTCGGCGCCCGCCGCGCCCCGTGATCTGCTGGGCTGCCCGCGCTGCCAGCGGCTGCTCCACAAGCCGGTGACCCTGCCGTGCGGGCTGACGGTGTGCAAGCGCTGCGTGGAGTCCGGCCCTGTCCGGCCGCAGGCGCGGCGAGTCAACGTGGTGCTGAGCGGCCTGCTGGAGAAGTGCTTTCCGACCGAGTGCCGTGTGCGCAGGCTGGCGGGCCAGGCGCGGAGTCTGCAGCGCCAACAGCAGCCCGAGGCCGCGCTGCTCAGGTGCGACCAGGCTCTGGATCTAGGTAAGTCGGCCTTGGGAGTTGGCCCGCCGGCCTGCCCACCTGTCGACTGCAGGGGTGGGCGTGGAGAGCTTTGTTCAGGCGTAAGGGTTATTCTCTTGATAAAGGTGGTAAGATGAACCTGCACCCAGAGTGGCTGGTGTCAGAGGGCAGGTGCGCCCCGCTGGTTGCGTCTTTTACCTCCGCAGCCGGTACCTCCGCAGCCTTCCTGAGTAACCCTGTAAGGCCAGGACTGTCTTTTACTCCCATCTCAGCTGTCCAGGAGTGGGAGGATGACCTAGTGTTTTTACTTGTCCAGCAGGAATGTGCAAATAACCAGCACCCTAGAGGCGCACTAGGACCGTTGCCTTGTGATATGGAAGGATTTGCTCTGGGGGTTTCAGCTAATGAATCCAGGAAGGATCGCCTTCCATTCTGCTTTTGTTACTTGTACGTTCTCTCTCAAAGGGCATTAGAAGTCGTGTAATTAGCTTATTAATTACATTAACTAGTGTGTGTGTGTGTTTAAGTTTTAAAAAATAACTGATATCTGTGACCAGCACAAAGGATCTCTGATTTCCTACCCACCCCCCACTCCAGCCCACCTGTTAAGAATATGTAATTTAAAAGACCAAATTTCCTGTCATTGTATTTGATTCCCACTGCCATATGCTCTATTGACAGTTATTGGGGTGAAGTGTGTGTGGAGGGTGATTTGGCTTCACTGTTTTTTTACAGGTTGTATGTGATTTAAATCACTGGCCAAGAAGACTTGGTTTAATCTCCGTTACTAAGAGTCTTGTATGCTGTGCTCATCCATTTTATTTTTAATTCAGAGTTAAGGTTTTCCCTTTTTGAGAGCACACCTATATCTAAGTTGGGAGATGCTTTGTTGGAGTAGAACAGTTGAATTGCTTTATGTAAAAAAATATTGTGTACCATTTCTGCATCCAGTATATTCCATACCTTAATATGGCTGCATGTTTCTGAACTTTTGTCCATCTTGTTCATGCACGTGCAAGGTGGAACAGCACTATCCAGTGGAAATACTGTGTAAACCACATATATGCAATTTTAAATTTCTAGTAGTCACATGTAAAAGGTAAAAAGAAGCAGATGAGGGGCGCCTGGGTGGCGCAGTCGGTTAAGCGTCCGACTTCAGCCAGGTCACGATCTCGCGGTCCGTGGGTTCGAGCCCCGCGTCAGGCTCTGGGCTGATGGCTCGGAGCCTGGAGCCTGTTTCCGATTCTGTGTCTCCCTCTCTCTCTGCCCCTCCCCCGTTCATGCTCTGTCTCTCTCTGTCCCAAAAATAAATAAACGTTGAAAAAAAATTAAAAAAAAAAAGCAGATGAAATTTATCTTAACACTATTTTTTAAACCTATACATTCAGAATACTATTTCAGCATACCTTCAATATAAAAAATGATGGAGATTTTACTTTTTTTTTTTTAAACCAACCTTTCAAATGCATTATGTGTTTTACATGCACTGCCCACCCCAATTTGGGCACAAATTTTTCATCAGAAATACTTGCTTTATATTTAGATTTTTTAATATTTAGAGTTGAAAAACTAGGTTGGCATATTGAAGTTCCAAATTAAAAGTTTTCCACTAGTCAATAGGGTATCAGGTTTCAAATTTAAATTTCAATTAATTAAAAAGTTAATAACTTTGTTCCTCTAGTCCCATTTTAGTTGCCCAGTAGCCACATGTAGCTAGTGGCAACTGTATTAGTGGAAATCTAGAACTTTTAAAAACAGCTGCTGGAAATGTAGAAGATCACAATACCAACTGTTGGAGAAGATGGATAAAATGAGGATTATCATATATACTGCAGATCTGTGAATTGTACACCTGGAAAATTGCTTATAATATCTGAAAATATTAAATGTGACTTTTGGCCAAGCTGTTTCAACCAGGTGCATGTATATGTGCACTGAGAGAATTATAAGAATGTGCAAGAGTGTATATCCTTATTTAGAGATAGCCCTGAAGTAGAAGCAACCCACATGTCCAATAAGAACAGAATGAATGGCTAAGTAAGAAGAGAATAAATGCCTTTTCTAATACTGTATAGAAAGAAAGTAAACCGGCTACAGACACACACACTACAATGTGGACAAATCACAGACATAATGTTGGGTGAAAGAAGCCAAGACTCAAAGGCATTTTTATGATCTGATTCTATTTTTTTGTAAGTCCAAATACGCAAAACTATTATAGCATGTTGGAAGTAAGGGCAGTGGTTACCTCTGGGTGGGGGGGCAGGGGGGACAAAATATTGGCAGATTGAATCCAGTGATACACTTAAAACACATCATGGTCAAGTAAAATGTCATTATTCAATCATTGTCAAATGTTTTAATCATTATAAATCAACCAGTGTAATTCACTGCATCTACAGAATAGAGAATGGATCTCTCAGGAAAGTTGGAATAAAAGGGAATTTCTTAATATGTTAAGGAGTATATACAAAAATCTGTAGCAACCATTGTAATGATGAAATATTGAATGTTTTACTACTGAAGGAAAAGGTTGACAAGGGTGTTCACCTGCCATCACTGCCATTCATTCAGCATTGTATTAAGATTTTAGCTAGTACAATGAGAAAATAAAAGGTATTAAGATTGGAAAAATAAAACTTACTATTTGTAGATGACATGCTGGAGTACGTAGAAACTCCAGAGGAATATTTGAACTGTTAGAAATTATAAGCAAATTATTAAGATTGTTGACTATAAGGTTAATATAGAAAGATCACTGATATATATACCTAGTAAAAAAACAAACAGAAAGCCCATTTATATAACAAAAATTCTTTGGAGTAAATGTTGAAATATCTGAAAGTTGTTCAAGACCTCTACACTGAAAATACAAAATATTTCTGGGAGACATTACAATTGACTTAAGTAAATGGAAACATATGTTATTTTCACAGATTGAAAAACTCAGTATTGATGTCAGTTCTGTGCATATGGAACTATAGATTGAGTGCATTCTCAGTCAGAATTTTAGCTAGGGGTTTTGGTGGAAGTTGATGAATGGCCAAGGCAATAATGAAGAAAAATAACAAAGCTGGAGAACTGATACTGTAAGATACCGAGACTTACTATAATGTAGCTACAGTAACTAGCACAGAGTTGTATTGGCCCAAGTTTAGACACATAGAAACTGACTCTCACATACATGGTCACTTGGTTTGCTACAAAGATGCCAAAAGAATTCAATGAGGGAAAAAGGCTTTTAAATAGTCTAAGTCTGTTGCATATCCATTTGGTAAAAAAATGAACCTAGATGCCCACTACACACCATACATGGAAATTATAATCCCGTATCTAAAATCATACAATATTTTCATGATTGTTAGGCAGTTCTTTTTTTTTCTTAAGACACAAAAAACATATCCATACAGGAAAAGATAGATAAATTCAATTTAAAATTAATAACTTCTCTTCCTTAGAGACCCCCCAAAGAGTGAAAAGGTGATGTGTATTTGTAATATATCCAAATGAAAATGCGAATCCAGAATGTTGAAAGAATGCCTACAGTTCAAGAGGAAAATGGGAAGTCTATCTGAATAATAGGCAGATTGAACAGATGCTTTGTAAACTGGATCTCAAATGACAATAAATATATGAAAGGGTACCCAAAGTAATTACTGATCAATTGAAAGTTTAAACTAAAATATTACTACATGTCTTTCAGAATGATGAAAATGAAAGGGTCATGGTACCTAGTTCTGGCAAGTATTTGAAGTAATCGGGACTCTTAACATTGCTGTGGGAAGTGCAAATTGGTACAAGTTAAGTATGTTTGGGAGTACCAAGTAAGTTTAAACATAGATATAACCTCTGGCACATTTCCACTCTTGAGTATATATCAAGTAGAAATTAATGCTTATGTCCACTAAAAGTAATATACAAGAATGTTCATTTCTAGATATATGTGCCAAAAAAAACATTTAGATAACAACATACAATAAGTATGTAAATCAAGTCATACAGTGTATTATGCAACAGTTTATTAAAAAGAAAAAAATTGAGACATACAGCAATGTGGAGGAATCTCACAGAATGATACTGAGTGACCTGTACAAAAGAGTACATTCTATTCATATAACCCCATGCTAAGTTCATAAACAGGCTCAAGTAATCTAATGATGATAGATGTCAGATGGTGGTTCCCCTCAGGAAAGGTGTACTACCCGAGAAAGTGCACAAAGTAGCCTTCTTAGGTCCTGATCTGGGTGGTGACCATTCAGGTGTGTAGGTATATAAAAGTTTAAGATACACACTTAAAATTTGTGGCCTTGACTTTTGAGTCCTACATCACTTTAAACAAATAACCTCTGAGGAGAATTGCCGTTTATTCTATTTATTGGGACCACTACATAGCTGTCCTTGCTTTATGTCTCCACTCACTCAGCTCTTTCTAAATAATACTTGGGATGCCTAGGTGGCTCAGTTGATTATGCATCCCACTCTTGATTTTGGCTCAGATCATGATCTCATTGTGAGATCGAGCCCTGAGTAGGAGTCTGTGCTGACAGTGCAGAGGCTGCTTGGGATTCTCTCTCTCTCTTTCTCTCTCTTTCTCTCTCTCTCTCTCCCCCTCTCCGCCCACCCCCCCCACTTCCATGCACATGCTCTCTCTCTCAAAATAAACTTAAAAAAATAAATAACACTTGTACAGTTCTCTACTTCTCACCACTGTTCGCTCATTTGACACATTTTACACTGGTAACTAGCTCCCAACACTATGACAACTCTGGGTTGGAGTTGGAGGAAAACAGCCTTAGATTAACCCTAAACACAAATGTAGAGAGTAGATTATCTCTTCTCTTCCTCACAATGCCAGGTTCTCAGACTGTACTCTTTTTGACTCATTTCCCCATACAGGCGTTAATTGATAAACCCTTTGGATATTTGTGTCAGTTTCTTGGAAGGTGCACATGTGCATTTTTCTTCCATAAGCTGTCTTCATACAAAGAATTTTAAGTTGCTTTTCCTCTTCCATTTGTTTTTTTAGTGATTCTTCCATAAATTTTTCTCAGTTTTACTAAGCTTAAGGCTTAATGGTTGCGAAATGTGTAGAGATTTATTAGAAATATTTTATTTAAAAAAAAAAATTTTTTTTTTCAACGTTTATTTATTTTTGGGACAGAGAGAGACAGAGCATGAACGGGGGAGGGGCAGAGAGAGAGGGAGACACAGAATCGGAAACAGGCTCCAGGCTCTGAGCCATCAGCCCAGAGCCCGACGCGGGGCTTGAACTCACGGACCGCGAGATCGTGATCTGGCTGAAGTCGGACGCTTAACCGACTGCGCCACCCAGGCGCCCCTATTAGAAATATTTTAAAAGATTAAATTATGAAGCTCTGGCTTCATAAATGGTAGAAGTCAACAGAGAAAACAGCCTGATTCATTCAGTGTCTGGATGGGAAGTGACTTTTTTGGACTTCATTAAAAATAGCCTTTCGAATGTGTGGAGTAGAGGCTTAAATGCATTTATTAGAAAAGAATGATTAAAAACAAATGCAAATGAAGAGTGTTTTTCACTGCAAAAACTTTGTCAAAATCAATTAAGGTAACAAGTGTAAGCAAAGAGATCATGAAGAAAACATTAGTGAAACAAAAAGATTGAGTTGGTTAAGAAGTCAGAAGCTGGTTCATTACAAAGACCAACAAAAGAAACAAATGTTTGGCAAATGTAATGAAGAAGAAGCAAACCACAAACAGGAGGATCAGGAGTGAAGAAGTAACAGAATTGCAGATGTAAAGGAATATAACAGATTTTAAAGCCTATAAAAAAAAGGACAGTTTTAAGGAAACTATAAATTATCAAAATTTACCCGGGAAGAAATAAAAGCCTAACACTGACCAAAAATAAATGAAATAGAAGTGCTACTTGGGGCTTTTCTTTTGACAAACAAAACAAAACACTAAGATCAAACAAGTTTTAACAAACTTTCAAGGAAGATAAACTTTCATTTCAGATCATGGAGAGATATGGAAGATTTTTCATTGTTTTATTTTAGAATGCATGAATGGGGTAGAGGGGTAGAGGGAGAGAGAGAGTTTTACGCAGGCCCACACTGACGTGGGGCTCAATCCCACGACCCTGGGTTCATGACCTGAGCTGAAATCAAGAGTCAGACACTCAACTGACTGAGCCACCCAGGTGCCCCACATTTAATTTTATAAGATTAATATAACCTTGATATTATAATCAGGTAAAGCCTAGGAAAAATTTTGTAGACTAGTCTTACATATATACATGGTTGCCAAAATCTTAAACTTGTCAGTATTTGAATCCAGCAATATAATAAGAGTTAAGGTCAAGATGTGCTTATTCTAAGAATATAAGGATAATTCAGTATTAGACAAATTGTTCAATGTAATTCACTGTAAGGACAGATTAAAGGAGATATATTTCATGTAATCTCCCACATGTTGAAAGAGCATTCTATAAAATTCAACAGCCACTTTTTATAATGCCTATATAGAAAACTAGGAATAGGAGGGAACTTACCTAATTTGATAAATATTCTCTGTCAAGAGTTTACAATAAGCATATTTCATGTTAAAACATTATACATATCCTTTTTCAAATTCAAGAACAAGAGCAAAATGTCTGCTGTTGCTGTCTCCCCTGTTACTGCAACGTGGGAGTGAAAAGAAACAAGAAATAAAATTTAGAATGCCACAGTCGAAGCTGATTGTTAGCATATGATATGGTTGTTTAGAAGATTCAAGTGGGAGCAAGGTGGGAGAACTTCATTCTCACACTTGCAGCAAGTGTATATCTCAAGCTTGAACTATAGTTCTAGAAGCATTTTTTTGTTTGAGATTTCCAAAATCTCCAAAGGTTATTTCTGTACTTGGTAATGCATTTAACTGTGCAGTTTGAGGAGATTTCACTTAATCTTTAGTTGGAAATGAATAATCTGTAACTACATTTACTGTATAATGACATACTAAAGATATAAGAAGAATCTAATAGAATTCTGCAAATAACTCCCAAGCAATCAAATGCTCAATTAAAAATTTTATGCTTGTGGATGGACATCCGTATTTTATAGTACCTATGTGTGTTTTCAAAGATGAAATATGAAAAATCTCATTACAGATCATAACCAACACATGAACATCTTCAATTTATTTTGATGATAGGGAACATTAACTTTGAATTTTAAGGAAAATGTTATCCCTTACCCAAATAATTCTGTTCCTGTACAATATCCTCAAGCTTCTAACTGGCCTGCAAAACCTAAAATATTTACTGTTTGATTTTAACAGAAAAAGTTGTCGATCCTTAACTCTCACCAATGTTATTTTAAAGGATTCAACTTTTATTGTTAGATTCTCCTTTCTTGCCATTTCTTTCCTCTTTTTCCCATTTTTTTCCTTGGCATACATTGCTCTATGAAACACATATGCAGCGATAACACAGTTACAAGCAGTGGCTGTGATATCTTTTTGTGTGATTTGTTATGCACACTTGCTCAGTTACCTACATAAACTAAGAGGAGATGTAGTAGCATTTGCAAAGTTCCAAGTGGCTAGTTTGAGAAAGAGCCAAGGTCAAGGATTTGGAGCAAACTGAAATGGGTATTAGGTAGAGAGATGAGAACATATTTTAGGTACTGAGAATATTTCTTATCAATTAAAATGAAATGCTATAGCTGTATTACAAAGATCCTGCAATGAGTATATAGAGTGAACCGGGTCCAGCAGCATGAAAAATGGCTTTCATGAGCTCTGTCACTTTTCCATGGTACCTTGCCAAGTCAATGACTTCATATACTACATATCGTAGTTCATAGAGTCACTCTTGGCCTTTGCATAGCTAGGCTCTGTCCATAGTCTCATATGAGCAGTTCTCAAGCTTGCATCTGTTTGAGGACTGTAGGGAAAAGGCAGTTATTTTTTCCCTCATTTTCCCACTTCACATACTATAGGTACAATTATGATGACAAGTCCACATCCATGCAGTTATATAGGAAAGCAAATTATGTGCTTTATTTTTTTTAGTTTCTTAAACTACTTTATAAAATGTTTATTTATTTTGAGAGGGAGAGAGAGAATCCCAAGCAGTCTCCATGTTAAGAGTGGAGCCCAATGCATGGAGCTTGATCTCGTGACTGTGAGATCATGACCTGAGCCGAAATCAAGAGTCAGACACTTAACTGACTGAGCCACCCAGCTGCCTGTTAGTTTCTTGAGCGTGAATTTCCTTGTGTAATTTCAAAAAATTATTTTCAATCTTTTCTTTTTAATATGTAGTTATAGCATTAGGATGCTTCAGCATTTACTCAGTATTATTGCAACTTATGTTGTTCCTAGTGTCTTTTTCTGGGTGCATTTCAACATTTATTTATTTTTGAGAGTCAGAAACAGCAAGCTGGGGATGGACAGAGAGAGAGGGAGACACAATCTGAAGCAGGCTCCGGGCTCTAAGCTGTCAGCACAAAGATCATGAACGGTGAGATCATGACACGAGCCAAAGTCAGACGCTTGACCGGCTGAGCCACTCAGGTGCCCCTCTGGCTGCATTTTGAAGTCTTGCCAATCATCTGTTTTCCCAAGAGAAGCTGTGTAAAATATATGTATCAAGTTACTAAACCACATTATAATTTGAGGGAGGAAGTATTTATTTTGCCTTTATATTTACTTTCCAGTTTATTATTTTTAGTGACTTAAAGATTTGTTTTTAAATGTAGTCATTTTAATTTTTTTCTATTCCCTGTGTCTTTCAGTTCCTAGAGATAATTCGTTATTGCTGCTGCGAGCAGAGTTGTATTTAACCATGAAGAACTATGAGCAGGCTCTACAGGATGCCAATGCAGTTTGTCAGAATGAACCTCTCTTGACTAAGGTATTTGTATTGGCTGGTTTTAGAGATAAGAAATGTAAGTTTATGGGATTTTCATAAGAATAAACTAAGATGACTGTGATGAGGTACCTACACACAGTATATATATCCATCAATAATAGCAATGTAGCAATTCACTTCATGATAAACCAACTCAGTTTAGAAGATCAAAATGTTCCCAGCTGGATTTAATTAAGAAACACTAATTTAGATTATTCTTAGGAGATATTTAGCCGAATGATATACCTTATATACTAAATAAATACATAAACACAATGATAAAATTGGATAAATTTGTAAGTTCAGGGGAAATGTTTAAAATTATACTTTAAATAGGAAGATTGTAAAATAATCATGAATAACAGGCCCTGCTATGCAGGGAACATATAAATGTTGTTAGTGAAAGGATGAATGTTTTGTATGTATTTTGGAATAATTTTAGTGTGTGTTGGAAAGGTCTAATATTTCTGTGATGACACAGAATAAGCTTTGTTAATGTAATAACAATAGCTTAAGTTGCCCTTGAAGATTAAGAAGCCACATAATTAAAGTTGTAGCTTTTTTCATGAATCTCTGGAATTTTAAACCCAAAAGGGGTTTTGAAGTTTTAAAGAATTTGTGATGAAATTAATACCAATTGCATACTCTATTAGCTAGTAATTAAAAATATTTTTGTCCCACTGTATTACTTTTTATCATTTTCATTTTAGAAACATTGAAGAGGCATTAACCCAGGTTAATAGAAAAGATGCCCTTTCCTTCCTTCCATCCAACCTTCCGTTCTTTAAAACAAAGTGTTTTCAGATTAGATTGAGTGTTAAATTGGAATTAGGGATGAGCCTTAGGATGGGAAACAAATGTTTATTGGACCAAGTCCAGAAATCTGTATTGTTGCTTGCTTGCTTTACTAAAGACATTTTCTCCTCCTTTTTTGATGACTTTTCTTCTATCCCTTGATCTGTTAATCTTCTGAGCTAATTTCATCATCAGTGACTGAGCCTTAATTGTTACGAATGATAAGCTTAGTATTTCTGACTGACAGTAGACCTGTAGTACCCTGTGAAGCTAGTTTCTTCTCCACAATATTGGCCTTTCAGCTAAAAACTTGGCAGTGTGTCTGTGACAAAAGACAGACTTCATTACTACAAAGTTACATAGATAATTTTAACTGTAAGAGACCCAGAAAATGCATCATTAGCTTTTGGGATTTTGGTCCTGTCTTTAGAATTTGTTGCAAATATGTGGGCCTCAATTCTTGATAAATGCTTAGTAAAGAACAGCTTTAGCAGAAATGTACCCTGATAAATAACTTTAAGATGTGAAGGATAGAAATTTGTTTCCAAGCTAACATCATAACTAAAAGATTAGGGCAGAAGCAACATTGTTAAGCATGTTGAAAGCACTGAGGGAAGGATGAGGTTGTCCAACTATGGCTGAGCTGAGATGGAAGCACTTGTAGAATCAACTGAGTTTTCTGTTGGGGGCTACCAGAGCAATGTGTTTTATCCAGGCAAAACTATCCTTTCAAGCTACCAGCCATGGCTGATACTGATTCACAACTTTTGGTACAAATGGAGGTAAGTTAGTGCTAACAAAATATTTGACCACATTCAGAAATATAAATAGACATGTGATGAGTTTGACCTTATCTAAATGGGTAAGCATACCTGTGCTTTTTAATGTTCATAGAATCCTATGCTGGTAAAACATGTCTCAGTAGATTTCAAATCATTGAAATCTTGAAGAATATACTGACAATAGAATGAAAAGAGTAATCAATGATAGTAAAATATCCAGCAAATCCTTAAATATCTATTTTTTAATTAGGTCACCTTTAAACAATCCATAGAACAAAGAAGAAATCACAAGGAAACCAGGAAATATTTTGAAATCATTGATAATAAAAGCACATTATATCTAATTTGTCATATGCAGCTAAAGCCACTTTTTGAGGGAAATTTGTAACATGAATAAATTATTAAAGAAGTAAGCTCTCAAATGAGTGATCTAAGTTTCCACCTTAAAAAAACTAAGAAAAGAGCAAATTAAAACAAAGGTAAGCAGAAAGAACAAAAAAAATACATAGAAGAGGTTGGAGTCGATAAATGGAAGACAAAAAACAATAAAGAAAAGTCAGTGAGGGGCGCCTGGGTGGCGCAGTCGGTTAAGCGTCCGACTTCAGCCAGGTCACGATCTCGCGGTCCGTGAGTTCGAGCCCCGCGTCGGGCTCTGGGCTGATGGCTCAGAGCCTGGAGCCTGTTTCCGATTCTGTGTCTCCCTCTCTCTGCCCCTCCCCCGTTCATGCTCTGTCTCTCTCTGTCCCAAAAATAAATAAACGTTGAAAAAAAAAAAAAAAAGTCAGTGAAACAAAAACCTGTCGTTTTTGAAAAGATCAATGAAATTGATATATCTCACCAGACTAATCAGGAAGAAAGAGAGAATGCACAGATTACTAATATCATGAATGAAAGTGGAGATATCACTATAGATCCCACAGACATTAAAAGGATAAAAAAGGAACAGTTTCATGAACAACTTTGTGTTAATACATTTAACAACATAGAAGTTAACAAACTCCTTGAAAGACACAAACTGCCATTATCCATTCAAGAAGTAGATAACCTCAATAGCCCTATCTCTGTTTAGAGAAATTAAAGTTGTAGTTAATTACCTCCCCCTGCCCCATACCAAATATCAGGACTAGATAGAATTACTGTTGAATTCTATCATACATTTAAGAAAGAAATAATACCAGCCCTTCAAAAATTCTTCTGCAAAACAGAAAACGAGGGAGCAGTTATTTTATGAGAACAGCATTTTTGTAATAAAACCAAGCAAAAATGTTAAAAAACAAACTTCAAACCACTATCTCATTTGAAAATCAATTTGTATTGGCAGACTGAAAAAAAGCAATAAATGAAGCTGAAGCACTTGATAAAATTGAACATCCTTCATGTTAAAACTTTGAATGAAATAGGAAGAGCAAGGGATTTCCTCAATCTGGTAACGAGCATCTATGAAAAACCTTACAGCAAACGTCATACTTAATGGTAGGAAATGGAATGCCTTTCTACTGAGACCAAGAACAATAAATACATTTGCTTTTACCACTTACCAATATGGTACTTGAGTTCCTAACCAGGAAGGTAAAGCAAAAAAAAAAAAAAAAAAAAAAAAAAAAAAAAAAAAAAAAGGAAGAAATAAAAGGCATACATAATGGAGAGAAAAATGTTATACTGTCTATTCACAGTTGACATAATTGTGAGGAAATCTCAAGAAATTTATAAAAAGCTTGCATTGTACAAGGTGAATATGCAAAAATGAAACCAATCATATTTCTACACACCAACAAGAAATAATTGTAAAAATGAAATTTTAAAAATAATATTGTTAAAATAGCTTAAAGAAACATGACATGTTTAGTGATAAAGTTAACGAAGTACCTAAAAGATCTATACACTGAAAACTATAAACCATTGCTGAGAGAAATTAAGTAGCACTTAAATAAGTATAAATACATACTAGGTTCATGGATCAGAAGACTCAATTTTAGTAAGATGACAAATTCCCCAAATAAATAGAGCTAATTTGCCAAATTCTGCAAAGAAGCCTATCAGAATTTTAATCGGGACTGTGTTGTTTTTATTTGGGGAATTTGTCCTCAATGTATATATGTATATATCTAATTATTCATTAGTACAAATTATATACATATGTATGTATGTGTGTATGTATGTATATGTCTGTGTGTATTTATGGAAATACAAGGGAAAGAATAGCCAAACAATTTTAAAATATAAGAATGGAGTTCCAGGAAATATACTACTTGATTCTAAGACTTCCTATAAAGCTAAAGTAATGAGAATTGTGTGATATTTGCTTAAGGAAAGACATAAGATCACTAAAAGAGAAGGCAGTCCAGAAATAGACCTACACATAAATGGCGAATTAGTTTTTTTACAATAGTGTAAAGATTTAGGGAAAAGATCATCTTTTCATAATTTGTAGTAAGGGGCAATTGCATATCTATTTGCAAAAGAAAAAATGAACCTCACCCCTCTCTTTACATCATATATAAAAATTAATTCAAAATGGAGCATAGCCTTAAATATATAGGCTATAACTATAGAATATCTGAAACAAAATGTAAAAATCTTTGTCACTTTTTGTTAAGCAAAGACTTCTTAGTCAAGACAAATTGTAAAAGAAAAAGTTAGTAAATTGGTCTTCATCAAAATTGAAAACTTCTGTTCTTCAAAAGATGCTGCTATAAAAATGAAAAGGCAGAATGGGAGAACATATTTGCAAGGTATATATCTGTATATAGCATATATAAAGAATACTTACCAACTCAATAATAATTTCAATAACTCAGTTAAGTAACAGGCAAGGATTTTAGCAGATACTTCACCAAAGAAGACCTAGGAATATCAAGTAAACACATGAAAAGATGTTCCACAGCATTAGTCATTAGGGAAGTACAAATTAAAACCTCAAGGAGATACCACTCAGTACTCACTAAAATGGCTTAAATTTAAAATACTGACCATACTAAGTGTGGAGAAGGATGTCCAGCAAGTAAAACTCTCACACAGTGTGTGAATGCAAAATGGTACAGTCACAACAGAAGACAGTTTGGAAGTTTCTTTAATGTTAAGCATATACTTCCTATGTGATCCAACAGTCACTCTTAGATATTTCCCAAGAAAAGTAAAAGATATTAATACAGTATTCATAACAGCTTAATTCGTAATAGTCAAAGACTGAGTATAACCCATATGCTTGTCCATCAGCATGTAAATAGAGGCTATCACAAGATGGCAGACCAGGTGGTCCCAACACTTACCTCCCCCATGAAAACAACCAAAGCCATAAACAACTACAAAACAGTGAAAACTGTGGGAAAGCTCTGGACTACAGCAAAGCAGCAGCAGAAAACCTATAGAGCTCCAAAACTAAGGATGGTCACATAGAAAAGTGTAGGAAGTATTTTACTTGTATCA